ATTGCATAGTGAATATGTAAACTTATTAAGAATTAACATTATTCGTAGTAACACATATTGATTTGCTTAAGTTTTATTCAAATAATGGATCAAATAATTTAACAGGAGTGCAGGTAGTTAGTAGCCGTTGATCAGGAATATCTTGTTTAAATATTTAAGCAATCAAAATACATTTTAATCAAATTTAAACATTCTAAAGTTTACTTGATGTCAGAAACAGAAATGCCAATTGAAAATTTGCTGGATCGTGCTTTTGTGACTGAGATGAATTATATTAATAGTGCAGGGGGGAGGGGGAATGAAAAGGAAATCGGAAGGATATCAAGGAAGTAATTTTGTGTTGCTGAACAGCCACTTTTGTTTCATATGCTCCAAAAACCTTTTGTGAAAGTGCAGAATGTATCTACTGCATGGATTTTGTAAAAAAAAAATCTTTTTACAAGATTTTGTAAAAAATAATAATAATAATTCCAGCAGTTATGTCTGGGTTTACTAAGTTTGCATCAAGTAAAATATTTATTAATGAAACTACTGTACAGGAAACACCAAAGCGAAATGCATCATACAGAAAGAGTACACTCTAGGTGACAGATGGAAAAAGTGCATGCAGGTTGCTTTAAATTTTAAGTCAGAAACAAATAATACTAATGTTGATCCCTAACATCTTAAATGAGAAACTTCTCTAAATTTACCAAAAATGCCATGGAACATATATGACTAATACACATTGGCAAGCAGTATGAATGAATTCAGGTTTTAGATCTTATTTTACAGGCATTTTTGCTTGACAAATGTGAGTTTAAATAGAGTCGTAAAAAAGGAAAAATCTTCTCAAATTGGACTGGGTAGTTCTGCCAGGTTGCTCTGATGTCACACACAGCCTCCAAGTGTTTAATTAGACACCATCAAATCACATATGTCGTGTTAACATTCAGGAAATGACATTGAGTCTGTCTTTAAAGAATTATTTTTGGCTCAATAAATTTTAAATGTATGGTTTATCATAACCTAATATTGTCTTTGTCTTCACTGCAGTGGATTTCCGATCAAACTTTCCCCTCCTTTTAATACTTTAGGGAATTTTCAAACGTCGGGATGTTTGGCTGTAATGCCCCAAGATTTGTTCTCCCTGAAAGAAATCATAGTGACAATTTATTAAACTACAGAGCAACCTGGCTTTTAGGGGTCTGTACTTTTAGATTGTGTTCAATAAACCTAACAACTAAATTGTGATGCATTTCACCATCATTATTTATTATTTTTTCATGCAATTACTCTTCCATTCCTATATTCTCTGGGCTTTGGGGTTTAGATTTATTTGTTTGGGGTTGGAATTGTTTTAATTTTTTAATGATTTTAAAAGAAATACCTGTTCTTAAAACACAAACAGATGCAACCCAGAAATGTTGTTTGTGATTAAGCCTCATTAAATGCAATGAAATGCACTGAATCAATATTAATTTAAGTCACATTCCGTTTAATGAGACTTAATATGGTTTAAAATTTTTAATTTTGCTCTCTATGACTTGAAGGGAATTCCCATTCTAAGCCACCTCAAGCTAGCTGAATTTGTGTTCAATGGGACTCAAATTAATTACAATTAACTTGTCCAACTTTTCATTGGCCTTAAGTACAACTGGAGCTCATTGAATCAAAGCTATATTGTTAAACACGGCAACCTAAGATTGGGTTGTAATATCAATCGGTGGAGCATTATTTTCAATTTTTTTAAAATAGAAAGCTTAAATTACACCAGGTATATTGTTATTAAACAAAAACTAGAAGTAATCTTATTTTGTAATTGCTGTAAGTTTCCCATTAATGTGTTAAGTACTTCACACAAATTCACACATACTGTAAAGCAACACAACACACTGCCACAGTCAGGAAAGACTCCAATTTTTTTAAAAAAAGAAAACTGATGGTAAATAAAACTCCTTTGATTCAAAATGGTTTATTCACACAAATTTAATAGGATATATCACAATTGTTTGGTCCATAAATATTTAGGGGAAATAGTTTCTATACAATGCATTTTTTCAATAAAACAAAGAAAACATGGACAACTCTGCTAGACCACTTAACTGTACTATAAACACGAAGCTCAATATATAAGATTATTGAATTTATCAACTATATCTGAAGGAGTGCACAACTGCTTTCTATGACATGTTTGTCCCCCTCTACCAGGTTACACCATAAAAAGAGTTTCAGAAATAAGAGGTAAAACCGTACAAAACTAGTGAGGTGTCAAAAGGGTTAATTTAACAGTTAATTTAACAAACAACACATATATATCCTGATTTTTTTTTCCCACAAGCTTACTCCCAAGTTATAGCATAAGGCACATTGTAGAACTGAGTTATAAGAAGTCTACTTAATAAAGTAGATCTATAGTACCATATAGTTGTTCTGTCAAAGAACAAAATTTATATGTATCGATTTTTTGTACCTGTAAAAGTGTATTAATAAAGATCTCAGCCTTTCCAAGGTTGTTTGGTCTGGTTAGTGGTAAATGCCCATCAGGTAATAGTTAACAGGAAAAGCCCAAGATTGGCACCTCAATCCTAACTATATCAACTTGGAAGTAAATCCCACTCATGTCAATTGAACTTCCTTCCTTCTAAATGTGCTTTAGGTCAGCAGCCTTCAGCCTTCAAGAAGATCATGACCACACTGGCTAAATATATAACAACAAAGACACATTTTCTCCATTACAGTGTTAACATCTCTTCCATTGTTTTTTCTTTAAAAAATAAGCTACTTTTCTGTGCTAATTTTCTAAAAACCCTGAGCAAAAGTTAGAATAATGCACTTTAATATGGGCAGTGAACTGTCAGTATGTATCCACTCATTACTGGAGATCAAGCTCCCCCACTTTCAAATAATCAAGATTTTAAATAAAATGAGAGAGGTATGATTGGAAGGAAAAGGGAAGAGGGCAAAGAGAAGATGGATAAAATATAAGACATTGTGCAAACGTTATTCTTAACAATCTATCCAAAACATGATTTTGACACTGTTTGGAAAGTCTCCCCTGTTTAATTAGTGTTTTATCAGAAGAAAGGATACAAATGAACATTCACCACTGCCCAGACCATTCAGACTTTAGCTTAAATTAAAAAAAAAATAATAATGAACCACTTGCAAATGTAAACTAGGAAAGGTGTTTCCAATCAGCAATACATCCACAAGGCTTCTGAGTTTGGCAGCTTCTGAGGATTTCAATTTTTAAAAGGATTTTGTTTTTAGTGTAAAGTGTTTTCTCATATTGGAATAGAAGAGAGCTTTTGCTTGCCTTTTTTAATGAAAAAAAAATGGGGGCAGGGGGAGCGGTCACCATCCACCATGGAATTAAACTTGTATACAGGGCAATCCAAATAATGTCTAATCAAAAATTAATTCCATTGGGTTCAGTGGGGCTGATTTTCAATCACATTAAGACTACATTTTTAAACCCCACTGAATGATGCTAGAGTGGCCAAATGTGGCTGTGAGTCTGCTAGGGCAGCATGTGTGTGTTGTTTTGTGTATTAATTATAAATTCATACACACAAATTAACCCTAGGTGAAATTCCATGTAGCTTCGGCAGTACAATATATATATATATTTACTTGGAAATAAGCTCCCAGTGAGTTAAAACAGGCAGACTTACAATATGACAGAAGCACAGTATTATTCACATATTTGCTGAACTTGTCTTTTGAAGTTAATACATTAAAAGGGCCAGCATTTACCCATGTTAGAAAAAAATGCAAGTATGTTCAAAACATCCAAGAATAAATATATTTAAGTAATGGTTCAAACATTTTAAGAAATTATGTTTTGCCTATTTCCATCTTCTTCTGAAAATGATTGAAAATCTGAACGGTTACTTTAATAATGGAAATTCATGTTTTAAAGACAAAGGTTGGTAATTTTGTAAAGATTATGATTATTTTTCTAGACTCATAGTTCTCCATTTGTCCTATTGAAATGTAAAAGTGCTTCATATTCACATGCTGGATTTTACACTTATTAAGGGGAAAAATAATATCCAAGAAGGATACTGTAAGGGCTGCAATCCCTAAACCACTCGGCTCAGAGTAAACCCTCTTGCTTAGATATAATTAATATAGAGCAGAAAACATTACCATTTCAATAGGACAAAAATTTTAGCCTCGAACTACTGATAATATCTAGCAAAAATTATGTACTTTGGAATCCTTTTTATTTCCATGGGACAACATTGAGTAGGCATTTAATTATTACCTTTAAATCAACAGGATTGCTATCTAATTTAATCTTGGGCATGTTCGTGTTTTGCTGTCAGTCCCACTGCAAACCAGATGGAAACTATATCTGTTTGTTCAGTTGAATAGGGATTAGCCCCAAGCAAACGTTTCTAGGATCAATGTGTTTTAGAAAAAGGCTTGTGTTAGATACACATAACCAACATTCATACTGTCTGAGGCTGTTCTATTTTCCAGCACAGTTTCTAGGCCTGCAGGACAGAAAGTGAACGATTGACATTCATAAATGGCCTAAGTTAGCTGAAAAGTTAATGTAGTCTAAATGTTATCCATCATATGTATGTAGACGTAGTTGGGGAATTACAAATCCTGAAAAATAATATAGCTCAAACGTGGAATAAGTGATACGGTTCCTATACCACGTTAAGCCACGCTGTTTAATTTGGAGTTAATGTGATATGTGAGGTTTGCTGCGATAGTTTGTAAATGAAGAGGTTGTCACTTAACTAATTTAAACCCAATAAGTTACGATCTATTGACTAAACCAGGGGTGTCAAGCTCAATTTCATTGAGGGCCGTATCAAGGTTGTGTTTGATCTCGGGGGGGATGGGGTGGTAGCCAATGGGAAGCCCGATCCACTTAACCACCAGGTTACTAACTTATCAACTGCAGTGATTCACTTAACAACTGTGGCAAGAAAAGTCATAGAGTGTGGCAAAACTCACTTAACAAATGTCTCACTTAATGACAGAAATGTTGGGCTCAACTGTGGTCCTAAATCAAGGACTACCTGTATATAATACATTTTCAGAAACAAATTTCCTTTTGTTTTAGAGGATGTTGATGGCCTAGAAAGAAAATAGGATTTCACGTTTAGGCTATCAGTTTTTATATATCTTAAGAGGCTTCTAAACATGATAGCATAAAGCTTCATACAGAAGCCAGTTAATAAATGAAGAATTCACATGTTTCTGGAGCTGAAGCCTATTATTTCCAGGGGCCACTAATCCCTCTCTTGTTTTTCCCCACCCATATTAAGCCTAATAAAAACCTGGGCAAACCTCAGTTCCCAAACAAAACTTTTACAACTTTTTTGTGTGCATAGAACGTGAAAGAAAATACAAAATGTATAAAGTATCTGAATGCAAACTGAGGATTAAAAATCTGAAATGCAAATTATTCCTGGGCAGCCTTTCAGTATGAAATACCGGCATTGGTTAAAAATGGTCAGAGCATGTTGGCATCTAAAAATTAACTGAGGAAACAGTCGCAGAGAGCTGGGGTTAGACAGACCACAAATACCTCTGACATAATTCTGTTAATACTCAACCCACACGTGATTTAATTAGGTGACCTTTATACGAGTGAGGCTCCTCTGCGGGACATACAGTATGCCATGTCTCAGGACGAACACAAACAACTGTCTTAGCACACATCTGTAGCTGATGTGCAATAACATTATAAGAACTGACCTCAGAGCATGATAGTTTGATTCTGTGGGCTCTTCCTACCCAGTGGTTTCTTCTATGTATCCCAATGTGTATATTATTTGAATTTTGTGTTTTTACAACTTTTTTCTTCAGGCTATGCTGGTTCCTTGTAAGTGGCAGGTCAGTCATATAATTTGATGCCAAAAGCAACTACCACTAGCTTGGCATGCCAACCCAAGTCACGTCATGACACGGTAGAATGCAAATTGAGGAGGTTTTGTACATGGCAAACATATCATAAAGACAGCTTCCAAATTGCAGGGAACCACCACAGAATAAAGAAAGCAAGTCATACAGTTCACCTGACTTAGAACAAACATCCTTACTGATCCAAATTTGGCGACTGGCCAAAACCTGCTTTTAAAGTTATAAGTCTAGCTTGATTTAGAAATATATAGTCCACTGAACTCAAAGGTTAAGTGATATGGAAAGGGAACTCAGTTACCTCAAGTGGCAGATTTTAGGGTGTTAAATATTTTTAGATTTTCCGCATCAGATAGCAAAAGAGCTTGGTCAGCCTTGCTCAGTGGGATTTCCTTACATGTATGTTTTTTATGATTCAGATGCCAATCATTTGAAGAAAACAAACACTGATCTATTTATTTGGAAATACAGTTCTCTCTGATTAATATATCAACCGTTTTGCCCCCAGTAAATTCTGGAAATAAGGAACATACAATTTTAAGAGGCACTTAAACCTTCCCTTTAATTAGGCAATGATTAAAAAGAAAATCCAACAACAATTTATAGACAAGTTCACGTTGCATTATAATAGAATTCTATTACTGCAAACTCATTTGCCAAGTGGTTGTGGGTGCTAGACACCAAGTTGTTTTTTCCCAAATATATCGTGGTGTTGTTTTATTTTTATTTATTTTTTTTAAAAAAATGTTGCAAATAATATTAATAGTAATTATAATCATATAATGGAGAAAGAAGAAGAGGAAGCAGAAGTAACGAAGAAGAATTGTTTTGAAAATCAAATGTTAGAAAATGTTTGTTAAGGTAGTTTGTGAGGGGCTGGCGGAATCGTGGCTGTCCATGTTAGACGTCACTGATGATACTACAGTGATTGTGGGATTGGTCAGGTCTGTTAAAGTGGTCGCAGTGCCGGGTGGAGTGAGAGCGCCGCTGTCTGCTGAGGGCGGTGCCGGAAGTGACGTGCCATCAGCTTTATCAACACCCCCATTCTCCTGCCGCAAAAGGTTCCTTCTGAATTTGGCTCTCGCGTTTTGGAACCAAACCTGTAAACCAATCCCAATTGATTTCTTTACCAACGTTATCTTTTGCTTTCGACTAACCTTATTTTTTTTCCCTTTTTCCTCTTTCTGTTTGCATTTTTAAGGATGGCGGAGTTCTTGCTTTACCCTTCTCCTCCTTCCCCCACATGCACACTTGCTACTATGTTATCTGGGGACCCTTTCGATGATAATTCGCTAAGACTATCAAATAAACCTTTTCATGGGCACTTATGGTTGTTTTTGTTTTTCACTTGTGCCGTAACATCTTAGTAAAATAAATATTCCACTAAAGTTCTTGTGATCATTTAAAAACATGGAGAGTATTAAATGCAGGACGAAAGAATTCATGCACGATTTTTCCTTATGTAGGTTTCCGTGTGTCCTATTCCAAAGCTGAGCTAGTTATGTTAAGATGACTGGTCTCTCATAGACAGAGTTGCACTTAAATTCCTTCCCCTCATTTGTCGGCTTCTGTGGAATTGGCCCACAAGTAATGATTTAAATCATTTATAGGTATGAAATATTATGGCCAGAACCCTGTCTCTGTTAAAAATATAACTTCTTCCAAAATTATTTTGGGGGGGGGGTGTGTTCAACTATGTTATGAAAGAGTCAGATTTGAGAGCATCACAGAGCAATCCCAAAATTACAGATTAAAACACCTTTACATGCAACACAAATCCCATGTGATGTATTAATTGCTGCACTGCACTGCTTCAGAATTCAGTGGTGAGAATTAAATCTATGAATGTTCTCTATAGAGTCCTCCGGAAAATCTTCAATGCCTAGTGGAAAATCAGTTTGCTAGTGACGCTATTAGGCCAAAATGTCTTCCTTCATACCATCTCAGTATTCTAATATAATGCAGTATAGCAACAAATACTCCCATAGGATTGTTGACTGTATATAATAAAACTCAGTTCAGGTTGACACAGAGGACTCTTGAGGTTACTTCTGGCTAATAAAAATGGAGAAATGCAGTAAAATAGATTATTTGCCTTAAATTCAATATCCTATTACTGTTTTAATTAGAAAGGATACCAGTATATTTTACGAATTTTCCCATCCCAATCAGAGTAAGCAAAATTGATTCTCCTTCAGCCCTGAGAGCGGTAGCTCTGGAGGGAAGCATAACTGTCCACTTAAATATACCTTCCGTGCCCTTGGAGGGTAAGATCTGAATATGGAAATGAGTACCTATTTATCTATTGGGGGAGTCAGCTAATTTAAGAGAGCAGAAGGGAAATGTAAGGGGAATGCAATTTTTAAATAGAGAGTAAGGAATGGGAGGAAGGCGTTTATAGCAGAGGCTTCTTACCTGCAGAACTCGCTTAGTTAGTCCAGTCTTCTGGGCTAACTGCTTGAGGTCCTTAGCATCTGGGTTGTGATTAATGGCAAAGTAGGACTTCATGGTACGGAGCTGGTGGTGTTTAAAGGAGGTGCGCATTCGCTTAGTCTTCTGAGACGGGGGATAAGGCTGCTGGTCTCTGTCCAGATGGTCTGCCTCGTTTTCATTACAACCTGTTTGGGAAAACAACAAACAAACAACAACAACAACATTGGACAGCTGAAAATAAGCAATGTGTTCTACCTCTGTGTCCATGGACAAAAAAAACCCTCCCAAGATGTAATATTAACGTATTTCCTTCCGTTGCATGATTACAAATTAACATCACGTAATGTACTCTATGCATCATATGAATAAAATGAGATGGTTCAGTCCTGGACATATTCCAGACAAGTGGGAGGACTGAATGTTTTCATGTCCTTCCATTTTTAAATTGATCCCTGCTACCTATTTATTTCTAAAAATGTGAAAATAGAATATAATCTAGAAGATACCCTAGTGTAAAATAAAAAAAGTATAATTAAGAAACAAAAATGAACATGACACAGTAAAAGCATAGGATTTTTAAAATAATAGTAACCCTGAGTCACTTGCTGTGACCCAAAGAATAAAAAATAAATAAAAAGCAGAGCGTTACACGCGTCGTAGAAACAGTCTGGAAAGGGGGCACAAGTTGGAGGAGAAGAACCACACTTTATTTTGGTGCATGCTTTACCAGGAAGAGAGACCCCAACCATAAAAAGGCAAAAGTTTTATAGAAAGTGAGAGTTACAAGATGGAAAATCCTAAGGCTCTGGTTTACTGCCTAGCGTATCTGGAATGAGATCTGGTGGTAGGCAGCAGAGTTTGGGACGCCCTTTGTGAAGGAGAGCGAATGTTGAGATCATCAACTAATACAGCATAGCTGGCTGGGGGAGTCTGGGAGTTGAAGTCCACAGGACTTAAAGTCGCCAAGGTTGAGAAACACTGAACTAATAGAAGGTGGAATGTTGTGGGTTTCCTATGTTGCAATTTCCTCATATGGGCTTTCCCTTTGTGAAGAAATGGGTGAAATCTCAATTTTGTATGTTATATTTATTTTCTCCATTAAACTTGGCGCTGTAAAGCAAACAAAGCTGATTTCTTCCTAGATTCTCAGGAAAAGGGTTTTCAGAGCTGAGGGGCCATGACAGAGAAGGTCCCCGTGTGAAAGCTCTAATGGCAAAACCTGGGTAGGCAAATACGGGCTAGGAGAGGCGCTCTGGTGCCCAGGTATCAGGGTTTCCCACTTCGAATGTCATTATTAAACTTCGTTTTAGAAGCCCAGGCAGCTACTGGTGCTCCCTTAGCAGTCCAGCCATTCTACTCAGTGTTAGCTGAAGCTTTCAAAAAGTTCAAGGGGAAACCTAGATTGCAATCACCTAACCAGAAAATTACCAGAAAATGAATTACAGGCAGTCCTTATGCAGCAATCAACTACTCACTCAGCAACCATTCAAAGTTATGACAATGCGGAACAAAGGGATTTATGACTATTCTTTTTGGTCACATGGTCGTGATTTGAGTGCTTGACAACTAGCTTGCAATGACAATGATCACAGCATCCTGTGGTCATGTGATCACTATTTGTAGCCTTCTCTACCAGCTTCCAACAAACAAGGCCAATGGGGAAACCAGCAGGAGGTTACAAACAGCAACCACAAGGCCACAGGACACTGCAACCCCATGGATTTCCCTAACGACGGAACTGTCATAAGTTGGCACAGCCACATGACACTGTGCTTTACAACCGCATCATTTAGCACCATGATTGCCTATCCCAATGACTGTCCTTCACCAAGGATTACCAATAGAGGCACAAGGCCATCCCTATCGAAGAAAAGTGTCAGTTAATAGTTCAGCTACAACCGGCCAAATATATTATGGTCCATTAAGGCCACTTGGATCTTTCAGTATTTACACTTCTGCTCCTCCAGGAAGAACAGAAGTCCATCCAAAGATGACACTTACCCAATTCCAGACACATGAGCCATCAATCCACAGCATTTCTTTCTGAATTGAATTAATACAGGAGAAGGCCATCTAGCCCCCTCCAGATCTTTTTGACTAAAATTCCATTACCTCTTACTAGTGGCCATCAGAAAAGATGATGATGATGATGATGATGATGATGATGATAATTATTATTATTATTATTATAATATGGTTCATTGTATGGGTGTAATAGTATGGTTCGTTGACATTGCAATACCTGGTGATGCACAAATTGAAGATAAACAGCAAGAAAAATATCACAAAATACCAGGACTTGCAAACTGAGGTTGAGTGACTGTGGAAAAAGAAATCATGTGTTGTCCCAATTGTAATTGGAGCAATACCCAAAGGGCTGCCTCGCTATTTGGAAATTCTAAATTTATTAGATTTGAACATTCTGACTCTACAAAAAACCACCCTACTTGGAACAGCTGATATCCTCCGACGTTACCTTAACAGTTCCTAGGTCCTTGGTTAGGACTCGAGCTGTTGAGCTACCAACCAGCTCCAAAGGCTGTGAATCTCACCAAGGATTAACCACATAATAATAATAATCTTTGCCCTGATGCATTTATTTAGCATAGAATATTTTTTGACATGCAGGGGTATTAAAGTTGGTATGGATAAATATTCTTCACCAGCACAATGCTGGATTGGAAGTGGAATGGTCTGAAAATCTACTGCTCCATTCAGCATTAGCTCTAAACGATAAACCAAATAATGGGATGAATGATGATTCAGTAAAAATGCAGCCACATGGCTGTTTCCTTAAAACATACATTAATGCACCATCTGCTAAGGGTCCCTGCCAATTTTTACTCCTCTTACTTTATTTTTAAGACACATTTCTCCAGGACGATAAGGAAGCCTTTCAAATGTTATTTATTGTACTTCTGACACTTTGCTAAGCCAACTCTGAGGAGATTATTAAAGCTACTGCCTATTAGCTGCTTCCTTTGCCCAAATTAATAGGTGTGGATGCTGTGCAGCAGAGAAAAGCTTGCTAAAAAAGGAATCAACTTCTGTTTTTTTTTTCTTCATCATCACTTTTCTTCTGTAATTGTCATCAGTCTAATTTCTCCATAGAAAGGATACTAGGCCTACAATTGTGCATTACTGGAGACTGCTAACACTTTCTTTTCACCTACACACATGAAGAAAAATCAAAGCTGAAGCAGCCCAGCCTGAATAAAGCAATAAAACATGTTCTTATTAGATATTTAGACTACATCTTTAATCAGTTTGGACCAAAGGCACAATGGTATGTATCGTCTTGATTTGTTTCCATAAAGCAAAGAGGAAGATCCACCATAGAAAGTTCCATCGAGTTGTCCCATGCTGAATCTCCCACAAAAGGAGGTGGGGTGTTCAACAGAGATCTTCTCAGTAACCAGGCGTGGCATGAAGATTTGACCTGGGCAAGGAGCCTGATATGTGTCAGAGCTTCTCTGAGCAGAACCCGAGAGGTTATGACTAGCACTTTGAATTGAGTATGGAAACTACAAGTAACCAGCGCAGTGCTTTCAAATTAGGTGTAAACTCACACTGGCTGTCCCATCAGTAGTCTAACTGCAGCGTTTTGTTCTAGCCACAGCTTCTGGATCACCCCCAAAAGAAACCCACAGAGACCACATTCCTGTAATCCAGTCTCTAGGCAGACATAAATTAACATTGCCAGAACATCCTGAATCATAATTATCTGGACCATAACCAACACACCAGTTGAACCTGGATGAAACCCCCCTAGTGGGGGATTCTATTTGCTGCTTGAGCAATAGTCACAAGTCCAGGAAGACCTTTGAATCACAGGCCTCCTTCAGGGAAAGCCTGACCTGATCCAGGATGATCACCAACCCCCAGGGGTTTGTAATGAACAGCAGCTCCATTCTGGATAGAGCCCTAGGATTTTGTTTTCTCACGTAGAAGGAATCCTTTCTGCCTTCTGACTCAAGCCTGGGCCTTGGTGCTGAAGTGATGAACTCTAACTGTTAGACCATTAAGAACAACAAATTAAGAGGTAATATATGATGAGGACACATATATATACATATGCAGTTCCTGCTAGAAAAAAAGGACAGAAGAATGTATGAATCCACTAATCACGTTTTAGGAACCACCTTTAGCAGCAAGTGTTGGTTCTTTTTGTTTCGTGCTTCAGTAAGTATAGATGTTATATGACACAGCTCTGGGTAAACCCACTTTTATATAGATTTATGTTCTACTATTAGCTGTACCATTGCCACGAATCCTCAGCAGGATTAGATCATTGAGAAAAGTGTAAATAGTAGAGCACTGACGCTTGGCTTTCTAGCTGTCACTAACATTGCAATTCTAGCTGTGTAACTAAAATGTGTCAGTTACCTAAAAAAAAATAATCCTGATTCTATTATGTGGAAAGAATCCCTGTAGAGATCAACTGGACTCAGAACCATCAATACATTCCATACCAGAATATGGAAGTGAATTTCTTTTAACTATTAAGCATGAAACATTATATCACTTTTCAGGAATGATTTAACAAAACTACCATCATGCAGGAACAGAATAAATTCCCCAACAGGTGGCTGGAATTCTTTCACAAAGTTATAGCCATTGCCATTGATGGAAAATATAGATTATATGATATACATGACATCAGCCCATGGAGATAGATTGGTGTGTGTGTGATAGAGAGATTGGGTGGGGGGGGAGGGAGGGAGTAGACAGCAACTGCAATTGCCTTCTATTAAAAGGAAAAAAACAGAACTGAAAGGCTGTTTTCTCCACTAGTTTGTAAAAGAATGTCCAACAAATGCTGGTTTAATGGTTTTCTAAACTTATTTCACCGCTCCCACCTAACAAGTATTTTCGGTGAATATAATAAAAATAATTTGGAGCCAGAAGAGCTAGGGAGCCAGAAATAACAGATGTTTTTGTATAAGGCAGCCTTTTTTTTCAACAGCAGAAAGAGATATTTAAAGACACGTGAGAATGATTTTTAAAAGATAATTCTATTAAGTGTTTTTAGCATTTGACATATTTTCTCATCTGAAGGCCAAAAGCATGGTCCTCAAAGAGAAAACTAAGTATAAAAATAGTTATACCCACCAAATACATTTGGATTACAACTCTACAGTTCCTGGTATTTCTAGTATTTAAGTTCATGCTTACTGGGAATTATTGACATTACATTGTAATACCAATTACATTTAAGAAGATGCCAGATGAAAAAAGCTGTTTTAGTTCATTAATTTTTGGAAGAT